TTTTTTTTTTTTTTTGCCTTTAGTATAAATTCGGAAGTTAAAAAAGTTTAGCTAAATATCTATTGAAAAGCATGAAAACTAGTTCACAATGATATTTGTTGACAAGAAGCGATTTCAACATTATTAATAACATAGACTTAGATTTAAAATAAATTAACATATAAATACAATATCATATCTAATTCAAATCCTTTAATGAATTCAATCCTGTTATTGAATCATTTGTACAGAACATTTGGAAGGAAAATGCTCCCTCATTTCTGATGCCGCGGGCGTCCAAGCGTCCCGAAGCACCGGCTATCATGTCGAGAAGAAGGTGAAACCGTTTCACCACTATGAGCATTGTAGAGAACGCGTTGCATTCTATTCCATCTATTTACCAATCTCTACCTTAACGATATGCAATAATAATGAGAAAAAAATATCGTGCATTGGATTAGGAAGAAACGATCACGTTTAATCTATGTCTATGAAGGTGTGTCAGCTCGTCACGTGGGGATCAAGCTAAGCTCAACAAGCTCTATGTGGATAGGAGAACATGTCGCAGAAGATGTATTTTTGCCTTGGATTATCTAATGTGCCTATAGTTGAATCCCATGGGATTCGGTAAAATGGCGCGGATTAGGATCGGTAACTCATTTGAATACTACTTCAACTCTTTTTTTTTTTTATTTAATATTCGATGCTACGTACTGAAATTAAAATTTTTTAATATTAAAATAGAAGAGTATATTTTAATACTTGATATAGAATGAATCTTAAAGAGAATGTACTTTATTGGCATTCTCCTTGTAATCAATTAAAATATTTTATCTTATCTTTTATGCGACAAAATGATAATTTTAATAAGTTATCGAGATGAATCTAAATTTATACATACAGAGTTAAATATTTCCATAGAGGCACCTGGACTATAAGCGCATCGTGTTGGCAGCCATACTAAGTTCCAAGCTTGGGACATTGTTCGTAAATCGTACCAAATAAAAGTGTAGTTGTGCAACCTATAATAATACCATACAATTTTAACGTATGATAAAGTTAATCCATGAAACAATATTTTACTTACTTCACACAATTTGCATGTGAGCAAAAGTCCATTTTTAAATGTTCGTCTACCGATCTTAAAATCTTATGCCGTGGAGCATACAGATGTATCGATCCATGAGTGACAACTGCGTACGCTCTGAGGACTGGCGTGTTTGGCAGATCGTATCCACGAATATTAAACAGCCAGGCTATTTCGTCGAGAGCTGTGAGAATTAGCGCATCAGCTTTGTAGTACTCCATTTCGATACGAATCGACTGAACTTTGTCTTGCCAGGTTTTTCCGGAATACTTGTCTGGCAAAGGATACGCCGGATGTGGATTATAATTTGGTCGATCGATCTGCCAGATCAAGTCCACCAAGTTGTTACGGACAGGAACCAATCTTATGGATGAATTCGCTGGACATGAATGCTATTGTTAATTTAAGAGCACTCTCATTTGCACAGCGGCAAATTTTGATAAAAATTGATAATTTTTGCATGAAAGATGTGGCATAAGAATAATGATTATTTTTTTAATGGAAAGTTTTAACGAATAATGTAGTGGAAAAGTAGTTAAATTTTATTGAAGTAATATATAAATCAACACTAGCTATTTTTTTCTATCTTTGGACGATAAATAATTTGTCAAATATATTATCCGGATTGATGTGTTTCATGTTCTAGAACCATTGTGGTACAGATCAAACAGATGACATAACTAGATCTATATGCGGTACCAGACAGATGATATAAATAAGTTTATAAATTTAAAATAGGTATACGTTAGTTTCTTATGGTTGCCTTTCATTACCTAATTCATCTTCCCAAGTTTCCCAATCGATGGCAGACACGAGCGTCGGATCGGCGCCAATACGCACATTTTGGCTGTGAAACTCGTGTTTCAACCATTCTGTTACAGAAGGGACCTTGTAAGAAGGAAAAAATGTATATTTATTTATATAACACATAAAAGTTCGAAAACCTCAAGATTGATCATTTTTATAAAATTTAAAAGTTTTCTAAACTTAGATTATCCCGACAAGTTAAATTATATTACATTCAAAAATCTTTTATAATTAGAAATGGAATAATTTTATGTAATATTGTATTACCACTTTCATTCACTTATTTAATAAGATTAGAAATTATAATTACAAAGGATTAACATGGACTTCTTCTGATCATCATTATGATCTACTACTCTCTCATATCAAAATTATTTTTTTCAATAAATAAAAAAACACCACTCAGAAAGCATTCTTCCCATCCACCTTGTACTCGGTACAAGGAAGGAACGATCATCGATGACTGAGGTACTGATCAAGGTCAACACCTCAAGTCTTCCTCACGCTCAGAGAAGGATGCTACACCTCTTCATCGTGGGTGTATCTACTTGTCCGTTGGTTTAGAACGGAGTAAGATCTACTACAGAAAAGATCCTGTGGAGTATGATCTTAATTTTCATCGACCATTATAGCCTTTATATCATTCCCAATTCACTATTCTAGATGCGAGAAAACTTAACAACTTATTGGCCACCTAGTGATAATATTGTCAACTAAACAAGAGATCCCCTCCCCACACGTATGTATCATACACGTACTTTACTTATGTTAGATCACAGATAAGGTGTTTTATATATATGTTATGTTAATTATAAAATGTATTATATAGAGATTTATATAAATTATTATATATCATACTGTAAATTGAATTCTAATTGTAGAATTTTTCTTGAAGTCCATATTCTATATCATGTGAAAGAAAATTCATA